ATTAGATCAAGGATTATAATTATAGACTATAATTTAGAATTTCAGCTTATTTTTTACTAAAAAGTTAATTCTAATACTATTCACTTTACCCTTTATTTTGTCATTATCGTTAAAACTCAAAATTTTCAAGTCATTTTCATTAATATTCCTTTTATGTTATGCCTACTTCACTTTCCTCCTAGCTAGAAAGCAGAGAATATGTCAGACTCATACCTGTCCAACCAAAATAAATCTAATTATTTTGTTTTAACCCCAAGTGTAACCATAAGATAATTAGATTTAAGACAAAATTAGTAACTTTTTTAATGGACTTAAATAATCACAACCTATATGCTATTTGGAAGAAAAAAATATTGGATAACATCCCTGCGAAAAGTTGGAGTCATTTGTCACAACCTTTCATTGGTTTCAGCTTTAGCTTTGCTAACTAAAGCATCGGATTTTCTGTAAGATGCATGTCAAACGATACCAAACAAGAATCTGCGATGGGGCATCTCCTTCTTGTTTCAGACATGGTAAATATCACCTTGGAAAATCACTTGCTAAACTAATGAAATGTTATTATTCGTAGGGCTAAAACTTACTTCTAGGGGTGTGCTAATTTATGTCTGTTAATCTTCTTCAATTCATCTAATATGACGACCGAAAGCTAAAAAAATGTAGGAAAAGTAAAAAGAGTGTGTAGATATTACACCCCTACTTCTAACGGGGTGTATATGTCTATTTCTTGAGTGTAAAGAGAGAATCACATTGACGGATGTAATCCGTTGCAGGTAAGTTTTTTCTCTTACGAAGCTTTCAAACTTTGCAAGTGGCCCTCTAGCATAGTAGTGGAGAAGAATGTTGTCCTTGCACCACGGCATGAGTTCGAACCTCGTTAGTTCCCTAATCTAATATCTAATGCAACAAATCCATCATTTGACCCAAAAAAAAAAAGGGTTTCAAACTTTCTATCAAGAAAAAGCATACACAACAGTATAATTTCCTTTGCACCATTGCTAACTGTAAGTACGTTAACACTCATTTTTATTTCTTACACATTCTTTTCAATTTTCGACCGTAGATAAAATAAATTAAAGAATATCAATGAACACAAATTACACTACCTTTAAAATAAAAGGAAACTAATGAAAATGGCTTGAAAACTTTGAGTTTTAATGATAAGTACAAAATAAAGAGTAAAGTGAATAGTACCAGATTGACTTTTTAATGTAAAAATGTGGTTTTTCATTAAAGTGAATAGTACCATGAGCTATTTGTTAAAACTCTCTAAAATAAAGGATAAATTAGGTGAATGTCAGATTGTAGCACTTTTAAAAGTTTTAGCTACCAAGTTAGCTTGTGAATCTCCCAACTCTTTAAAAGTTTTAGCAACCAAATTAGGGTTCATCGAGAAAATTTTCAATGAAACTGTCTTATTGTAACTGATGAAATTGAGGTTTCACCATAAAATCAATTGGCAATATAAAAAGTAGTCCAATATCATATAAGTACATAGCAAACCTTATCTCTCACCGATATGGGACAACTCTCAACAGTAACTGCACTTATTTCAAATGAGACGATTAGCATTGATTTGTATGAAACTAAGATACAAAATATTTCAAAATTTTGTAAAAAGTGCCTTACGAATAACGCGAGCTAGCTAAATAAATCTAAAACCCAAAATTAATTGGATCCCAATTATTATTGGCCTTTTAAATAATATCTTCACCCTCTTATAAATTTCATCTGAGAATCCAACTATGATCATTTGGTGTGATTTTCTTTTATTTTCCTGTCGTTTTCGATTTCCAAGGGTGTGTGATCATTTTTTGCACAATCATATATAGGAAACGCAACCTCTTCTTAATAAAAACAAATCATTTGCATCCACATTTCTAAATAGTTGGCATCTTCACACCCTAGTTTGGACCCCTCCCTACTCTCCTATACCATCCCATATATACTTGTACATTTGATACAGATTGATGGTAATGTATATAGATAAAGACATACAGATATGTGTGTATATTGGATAATAGAATCTTATGTCGAAAATTTCATAGAATAAAGTATAATTAGATAAAGACATACATATATGTGTGTATATTGGATAATAGAGTCTCAAGTCGAAAATTTCATAGAATAAAGTATAATTTATATTTTTGTCTAAAAAAATTATAATTTATATTGAATGATTTCATTTTTAATTATAACGAGACCTTATGTGATAAAAGTTCAATACTTATCAAACTCTACAAATGATTAAGTTATAACAATATTAATGTAATTAGTTGTGGACCACGAATCTAACTTTGAAATCTTACGACGCACATAAAGAGTAGGATTTTACAAATTGGAAAAGCAAACAAAACCATTCTTTTTTGCCGTTAATTTATGCAGCAGTAACCATTTGTGAGCTTAAATCCAATAAGCCTACCATTCCATATCAGACTATACATCTTTACAGTTGGTGTACCTTCACTTCCATTCTCATTCAAGCACAAACCAGAAAGATAAATAATGCAGCTCAATCTTTAAGTTCCCCCACCATTATTTTGTACTGCTAGCCTTATTATTTTACTGCTAAAGCAAATCACTTTGTAAGAGCATTTCTAATGGAGTCTCTAAATAATTAAGGACAATCACCGTATAAAATGAGTATAAACATATGTAAGGACAAAATGAATCTCTAATGGATCGAAAAATGAGTCCCTAAAAGTATAGAGACTCACTGGATATTTGGTGTATGTATCCACATATATATAAGGACTCTATAGGGACTGAAATGGTGAACTTAATAGAACAATTTAAGTGGAAAAGCAGGCGTGAATCCCAATCACATGACCTTGTCTTTTTTTCTTTTCTTTTCAACTGTTTAAAATGGAGGGTCTAGATTGATTCTTGTTTTTCAAATTTTTTTACCATTGAAAGATCAACGGTTCCAATTAAATAACCGTTTCAATTTAGATTACTCTCTCATGTTGGTTTTCAAATTATTTTGTTTTCTCATTTCATAATGCCCCTGTTGAAATATTAATATTTTCAATTTGGGTCACTCTTTCATTTTGTTCTGTCATCATTCTTATAAATACTAAATTATCTAATCAAAACTTACCACAATTTCATCTTCACTCGTACTCAATTCACTCATTCTAGTTACGTTTTTGTGAAAAAAAATTAGTGTCAGAATTTGAATATTTTTTTTTTTGTTAAAATGTTCACAAAAATATTGTACAAGAACGTAATGTTAACATAAACAACAAATGTGCATCTCACCAAATAATCACATAAAATTGTAAAAACCTCAAATTTAGGGATTCTACTATAACCACTCTTTCATCGGAGGCAATATTCCTTTAGAGATACAAAGATTCCTTTTAAGTCTTTAAATGAGTACTCAAAGGTGATGGTAGGAGTCCCTAAATAGAGACTCCCATTGAAGATGCTCTAAGGAGAAAGACTTGCCTGTCACTAAATGTATATTCTTGTACTATGAATATAACGCTCATTAAGTGATTGCGTAGAAATAAACGCACCTTGACATGCAAGAATCCTCCTTAACTAGAACAAGATGCGTGCTAGCAATTACAACCGGACGAATGATTTATTAGTGTAGAATAGCCCTTCTACTAAGAGTATTTTTTTATAACAAAAAAAGGATCAGCTAGTGGCTTTTCGACGATAGTTGATCTTTTCGAGGATTAGAAAAACTCACAAAAGCATTTTAGCCTCCGCTTGTCCATTATCGTGTGGTTCATCAGCGCCAAGAATCAAACCCATGAAATGCCTTGTGAAACACGAGACCAAAATTCGTCTCCAATACCACTGGATCACCCTGTGATGGTTCTTCTACTAAGACTTAAAGTGCAATTGTTAGCAAGAATTAAGACATGGCTTAATATTTAACAAATCGAAAACGGTTAACTTTGTAGAAAATCTTACATATGTTCGAAAATCATGACAACGTATTATTAGTTTGTTATACTGTTTCGGTGAAATTTGAAGTGCAAGTAAGTCGTTGTTCAACATGTGAGGCGGTATCCTATTAAGTAAGAGTACCCTATCTATAATCGAATTGATATTTAAATTACATAACTGCATTTGCCGTACACGCTATGTTGGCATGGTTCTACTTTCAAAGGACACAATAATTAAAGACTTGGTTCCCCATATATCATATGGCCATATGGTCATAGAAAATGTGTAGGATGAAAACTTTAGGGTAAAGTTAATGCGACTTTAGCAGGACTTGAGTGTTAGGTTGTGGCTTTTTCTTCTGGCTCCTCTCTTCTCCCTACATATAAAATATTATCTTGTGTGTGAATCTTTTAGAGAAATGTTTGTAATCAAAATAAGTCTAATCAAACGACCACGTAATTATTGGTCCAAAAAATGTTAAAATCAGCCGTGTACGTGAAGATGAGTTGATCCGGTAATTTATGGTTGCAGAGTTTACAAAATGCCAATAATCATAATCAATTAGTGTGTACGAACATAAGTTAATTTAATCATTCATACTTATGAGACTTAGAAACGCTCAGAAACAAGCGACGAGACTATCCTAGCCCTCTTATTATGGACACATGTTCAAGTGAGAGTTCTAGGGCAGTTGAAAGAAGTTGAAGGATATCCGTATTTGAGTAGCCATGTGCATCTGCTTTCACATAAATGGAAGGTAGGGTCCTATGATGTTGGAAGTGCTACTTCTCGTGATGTTAGGGTACACCAGTAAACAACATTTGACCTTTTGTTTTTTGAAACACAAACAATGAACAAACATTTGACCAATCCATAACTTCATTGCCCTAAGACTAGGGTCAGGGTGCTCAACCACATCATATGTACGACACCTTTTATAAAAGCATAAGTATGCTCGTATTTTGATTTCATGTGACCCACTATAATTCATGCAATGTGAAAACGGTTCTAATCAAGTAGCCCTACCGAAGTTTTTCTCATATATTTGATATCTATCGCCATTTTCAAATTGACGATTCCAGTTTGTGACTACGAGGAACTGTAAACCAAACTTCTTTCTGTTGGACAAACTTGCAAATGATTGTTAAAAATCCTACAAATTGCTACAATGCAATGTTGCAATTTCCTCGAAAAACAGTCGCTGCCTTTCCTACTTTAGACATCTAAAAACCGTGTCACTTACTGTTTGAGTTTGCGACATATGCTGGAGGAGGAAGAATCACCTCCGTCTACCAGACTGAAACCAGTGATTGGCCCTTTGATCAAAATCTCCTCACAAATAGGTGCAGCAGAAGGAACTGGTGAAACAGATGCGATATTGCTACTGTTTGCGAGGACAATTGGGATCTCGTTACTTGGGCATGTCCAGCATGGTTGTCTACTGGCCCTGAATCACAGGATCCATCTTCTGTAGTGCCCCTTACCCTGGTTCATTTAACCACCATTTGTAGCTTCCGAAGATCTGTTTCTACAAACTATTCCCCCGCCAATTATAGTAACTACTATTCTCAGCAGAGCTCCGACCATTCCGTTAATTGTTTCAGGGATCCGGGAAGTATTAAGAAGTTGGTATGTCCACTGCATACTACATGCAAGCAATGAATGTCATTAAAAATTTTGCATATTCTGAAGAAGCAGCTTCTGCAGAAGTTTGGGTGAGGCACCGGGAAAGGCATAACCTGAAAGCAGAGAAGAAAAGGCAAACACTTTCTTTCAGCAATTACCCAGACCAGTAAATCTGTAACATCTAAATGTGAATCATATGTGACATGATACTTGAAGCAAAATGCGTCCAAGTAAAAATAGAACTAAAAACTATATGCAATCTTTAATATGGCACCCAAATTCCTCTGCGTGCAATTGCATAAGCACTGAACTTGCTTATATTGGGGTTCTGATAAAATTCAAACAGCTCAAGTTTTGGCAACACCAGGTCAGTTTGGGGATCATGCATTTCGTGGGTTCTTCTCTTTTCAGTGAAGCCACCGTGTCAAAAGTACAATCCAGGTCACAACTTTCTCCCCAAAAAACGAACTCTATGTCACAATCACACAGTTACAACCTAATTATCAACCAAAAACAATAGAATCCACCCCACACTGCACTTAATGAGAAAGTAAACTTAATTTTGGAATTGAAAGATTCAAAAGATTAAACAATGGCATGAGTCTACTAAGCTAGTACGAGTTGGGATATGAGGTTAAAGTTCTGGGTTTTGTATGTAACTAACAAAAAATAACATCCATCAAATTATAACAGTATAAGCTACGATGTTCAGGATTATAAGAAAAGATATACAAAGAATAACTTCAAGGAGGCTTAGGGAGGCTTAGAAGGAGTTGTGTTAGCATTACCAATTTATTACCTCGAGGCTAGCAACTTCACCACAAAGACCTCTTTAATGGCTTCCACATTTGCTGGAGTTGACAATCTCATAGAGTAACTCAGGTTTGGGACCTTGTTAGCTTAATGAATCAAGATTTTGGATCATCAAATTATGATTTTCAAGAGACCTAACAAACTTCAAGCCACAAGGAAAAAAGCACAAGAGCCAAGAAAATAGAAAATATTTGAAGCTCGGATGGGGTTCTCAATCCACAGTGGAAAGATTGGGTTCACATTACTAATATCCAAGACCAAACATTTTGGAATTAATCATTACTCACTCATTGTATTATCATTGATCATCATCATACAACACAAATAAAAGATGAAAATTTTCACCCCTGATGGTCCAAAAACATAGATATCTAAATCCATGCTGCAAATACATAGACTGGTAACAGAATCCTCACTTTAAAGCCACTCCACTCCAGTCGTCCCACAAATGATTCTCCATAGCATCAAATCATTTTATCATTCCATCCACTCCTCACCATCAGGCCTCAACATTAATTTGGTCAAGACGCAAGATGGAAGAATATGGGAGATATTCGCTCCTATATTGCCTCCCCAACAATATCCTTCTAACCAACTAAGTGGAGTTCTAATGTTCTTGTATCCACTAAATGGATGTTAAAATACACTAAGCTACAGATTATGTCAGTGCGATAAACTTTGCCTATTCCATCTACATTACTTAAACACTGCAAATGATTACAAGGAAAATCAAACGTAACTAATTTCATGCTCAAATATCAGCTCCGAACATTGTAGTTGTATCTAAGTTAGACAAGTGCAAGAATTGTTCTTTAAGCATTGAGCATTCCTACTATAAGTAAAATAGCACACATTGTTCCTAATACAAGTAAATAGCACACATTGTGCACAAATAGCCATTAAAATTAAATTCAAGATCATAGCTTGCTAAAACTTCAATTTTACATAAATCTACAGCTTGAAATATAAACCGCAATCATGCTACAACAGCACAAAAACACCAAAAATCGACAGTTGGGTCTTTCAAGATACACTTACACAGCCTCAAAAGCCTCTCCTTTTACCAGACCACTATTGACCGCCGCCGCCTTCTTCCTCCAATTTCTGCACATAAGCCTTCAAAAGCATGATCAACTCCCTCGCCGGCGCCTGAATCGTCCCCACCAAGCTTGAGGCCGGACTATTCAACGTCCCAAGCAACTTAGCGTAAATCTCTGCCCTCGTTGGCATTGTCTCGAGCTGCTTAAAGTCCCCAGGCCCGTAAAATTTCCCTTCGAAAACCGCCCCGGTGAAGTCGTTGCTGTCGAGCTTTTTCTCCTTCTGGAAATCCCTGTAGGGCTTGATCGCCGGCGGGATTTCCTCGCTGTGGACGAAGAGCCAGGCGTTCATCCCCGTCATGCACGGCTTGAGCACCTCCCACGGCGTCCCCTCGATTGCCTTGTAGACCAGCGTGTTCTTCGCCACAATGAGCTTGGTGGTCTCCGGCAGGACCTTCCGGAGGTCCTGGAATTGCTTTACGGTGAGGCCCTTGTAGCGGATACCGGCCATGAGGTGGCAGTTTTCGAGATTTTCCTTGATGGTTTCGACGGTCTGTTCCTTTTTGGTGCGGGAGATGGCGGAGCGGATGGTGGGGAGGCGGTGGTGGTGGTGGTGGCGGCAGGCGGGGCGGGAGGTGAGGGAGAGAAATGGGTTGGTGGAGGGTCGGGTCAGGAGGGATTCGGGGTGGGTTTGGGTTAGGGAGGGTGATGGGGGTTTGGAGTAAGGGAAGCTGAAGAGAGTGGCTTCCATGGTCGCAGAATATGAATTGCGAAGCGAGAGTGTGTTTTGGGGCTTTTCCTTTATCTTATCCGTCCAATTTTTGAGAAGGGGTAGGGTGGGAAAATTATGTGCGCAACAATGTGTACATTTGAGAAAGTTCCTCAAGTTTTAGGTAATTCACTTTGAAACCCAATCCCCAATTTTCATGAAAATCTATTTCCAACTAGGGACCGTACCGGAAAATTGAATTGAACCATGAGAATGGAAACCCGAAAAATTTTCGTTGACCAAAAAGGTCAAAATCGGGTAAAAAATGGTTGGTTTCAATTCCGATTATGGAGGGAATTACTTGTTCCCCGTTAGTATAAAAAAAACTAATTCCAAATTCAAACAACTTCAGAGATGGAAAAATACTCGGTTCTTTTTGGCAGAAAAATCACAATTTGACGTATACGTAGAAGTTTTTTTGCTAATTAATGAGTTATTTTAACATAGACGGTCACATGTAATGAGGAATATATCCTTACACAATAGTGTTCTTTAGAGAAACTCTTAAGTCATCTCCAACTGATCTGGCCAAAGGGCCATATGACCGAAAATAGCCCGAAATGATACAAAAACCGTCTCCAACCAAGCGTTAGGCCAAAGGGCTCGTGGGCCCCACTAGGCCAAAAAAGGAGAAAAGGGCCAACCGGCTGGCCTAGCCCAACCAGCCCTGATCCAGTAGTTTGAATCCAACGGCTACTTGCTTATGTCAGCTAGCCATTATATTTGATTTTTTTTTTTCAATTTTTTAAAATTTTTTATTTTTTAATTTTTTAATTTTTTTTCATATAACTACATAAGTCATTAAACAACATTAAAACTTAAATGCCTACTACATGCTTCTTTTGGCCCAAAGATGAGCAACAAGATCTTGTTGTAGGTACTTGTTTGTAGCACGCAAAATCCGAGACGTAAAATTTTTAAAATTCCTTATTGACAAGAAATCTGTAAAGTCACTAAGATATCGACACGTGACACTCGAAATCCAAGACATAAAATTATTGAGATTCCTTATCGAGGTAGTTTAATTATTGAGATAGTTTAATTTAAGTAATCATATTAATTCAATTAAAATAATAAATTATGTTTGGCCCTATAACCCTTGGGCCCCCTTAGTTGGAGATGGTTTTTTGTCACAGGGTTATCCTATGGCCTTCTGGCCCCTCGGTTGGAGATGGTAAGAAATATGGCATACCACTGTTCATTAAAATATTAATTTCTTGGAGGGCTATAGGGCTAAAACGAGCTCTCTGACCCTCTTTCGATTGGAGATGGGCCATCTCCAACCGAAGCGTTCAGAGGGCCAGAGGGTCGAAAATAGCCCAAAAACTGTCTCCAACCGAGGGCTAGGCCAGAGGGCTCATGGGCCCCACGTAATCTAAAAGGACCAAAAGGCTGGGCGCATGCAACCAGCCAGCCAGGGCTGGCCAGAAATTCCAGCAATCCTGTTGGATATAACTGACAGGAATGCTTAAACAAAAATTTGAATCCAACGGCTAGCTGATGCCAGTTATCGTTAGATTCAAATTTTTGGGCCTTTTTTTTTTTTGGTTTTTTGGGATTTTTTTAATTCTTAAAAATTCTAATTTTTTTTTTCCTATAAATACCTAAACAATTCATTCACCATTCCTACACTATTTCAATTCTCATATTTTCTTTCCTCTTTCAAAATTCTATCCTTCAATTTTTTCAATAATTTCAAATGACCTCGTCTGCAATGAAAGGTAGCGTTTGGACCCAAAAAGAAGATGAAGCTCTTTGCAAGGCTTATAGATGGGTGTCGAAAGATAGTGTGGGGGGAATTATCAAACAAATGACGGTGTTTGGACTTGTATGTCCGAAAAATACTTAGAGTTCTATAAAGGCACCACTTCATTGAATATTTGAAACCACGAGAGTTGTTTTTCAAGATGGAAGAAACATCTTCAGCTAAGTTTGAACAAATGACATCAAGCATTGCTAGCAGCCGCAAGTAGACATGAAAGCGGCGCTAATTACTAAGACGAAGTAAGTGTTTTCACAATTTATTTTAAATATTTAATTATATTACATTTAATTTCATAAATTAATTTCCTTTAATTTTTGCAATTATATTTTCTAGGTACGCCAAGCGGAGGAATTGTATATGGAGAGCAGCTTGAAACCCTTTCAGTTTCACAGTTGTTGGGAAATTTGTAAAGGGTGGGTGTTATTTGCAGATCCACCTCAACATAGAGCTTCTACGCCGGTGTTCGGAACTGCATCCTCAGTTGCAAATATGGATGAAGGTGGATCTCCTACCATTCAACAAATAAGGGTAGAAAATCCGTCTTTGGATGAAGGTTCCATTCCTAGGGCTATGGGACAAAACAAGGCGCGAAGGTTGAAGGAAAAGGGTAAGGCAAATAATGATTACGCCGCTCAACATGAAGTGGCGGCCTCATTGCGATTAATGGTGGAGCAAAATGCCCTTGAGGCAAAAGAAAGGAAATGTAGGCATGAAGAACAGGCCAAACAAATACAAGAAGAGATGGATGATAAGAATATGGAAAGAAACACTTTGAATAACACTCAAATGAGTAAGGCCTATGATGGCAGATGATGAAGATGATGTTGATTATGGATATTAAATTTAAGTTGTTGTAGTTTTTAAATTTAAGTTAATGTTGTTTTTAAATTTAATTTGTAGTTTTAAATTTAATTTGTAGTTTTTAAATTTAATTTGTCGTTTTTAAATTTAAGTTGTAGTTTTTAAATATAAGTTGTTGTGTTTAAATTTAAGTTGTTGTAGTTTTTTAAATTTAAATAATAAATTATGTTTGACCCTATGGCCCTTTGGCTCTCGGTTAGAGACGGTTTTTTGTGACAGAGCTAAAACGAGCCATATGACCCTTTGACCCTCAATTAGAGATGGAGGCAAATATAGCTCTGTACTGTTTATTAAAGTGTTAATATCTTGGAGGGTCAGAGGGCTAAAACGAGCCCTCGGTTGGAGATGACCTTATTGTCCTAAAAAACTCAAGTCTTTTTCGCTTATTTTCATCTTTGGTGATTGATTTGTATAATTAAGCCTTCTACGGATCGGAAATTTTGAATGTGATGTCTAAATTAGAATCAAACTCACACAGAACTCCGAAAAAATTGAATCCAATATGTGTGTCCAATTGTCGAGTATAACACATGCATCTCGTGAGTTTGATTCTTATAAAATAGTGGCCCTCAATTTTTAAACTCACACCATTACAACTTTATGAGGACTTAAGATTGTTTGGGCCGATAAGGCATGGATTCCAACAGTCTGTAAATACACAAACAAAAATATGACAAAATGTAGTTTGTGAAGGAAACAACAACGAAATAGACACTTGAACTAGTTCACCAATTTTACTGAGAGCAACCTTTAAGCTACAATAAACCAGAATCTGACATATTTTCCCTACGATGAAAATCCTCTACGAAATCAAATACCAAAAAAGGACCAATCCCATCGCGGCGAGACCATCCTGTGCTCAAAAAAGATCCTCCAAAACTACACTCTCAAATCTCAACAAGGATTCAGAGGCCCGAATACATAAAAGTGAAAAGTTATTTGAAACTATATTAATAATTAATATGTCAGCGGTATACCGTGCATCACAAATCAAACTGCGCTCCCGCTTAGCAACTCCAAAAGCTCAGCCTTCTTCATCTTCGAAAACCCTTTTGCACCTCGAGATTTTGCTAGTACCCTTAATTCTGGCAGCTTCAATGTACTCAAGTCCCTACTTTCAACACGTTCTCCTTTGTTCTCATCGTCTTCAATGAGAGTTTCTTCGAGAACTGAAATCTTATCTTCTGAGGTCTCATCCTCTAACAACTGAGAAATCCCTTGCTCAGGCTCAGGTTCAGGCTCAAATTCAAACTTAGCATCATGCTCAGGCTCATGGTCAAGTTCTGCCTCCAACTCAAGCTTTGGCTCGGGCTCTGGTTTAGGAACTCTGTCAACATGATTCTTCGTTCTTTTCCCAGTTGAATTCACATGTGGCACTGTGTTGCCTATGTGATCATCCTCAGAATAAATGGCCTGGTATGTTAACCGAGGAATGGGAGACTTGCGTTGAAAATTTGATGCAGGCCTGCTGAAAGAGGCAGTAGGTTCTTCAACCTCATCCTTCAAAAGGTTATTTGAATTAAAAGAAGCTGTGTTTTTTCTTTCACTATATTGGGAATTCTTTTCTGGTTGGTCCAACGTGAAGTCCTTGTTGCTGCTGCCACTGTTGCTGTTTCTCTTTGATTGCTCAACTGAGTGTTTTCTTAACAGGTTAAGGAGGGAATCCACAGTCGCATTCTCTTTACCATGCCCTTGTGAAGCTTCAACATTCCTTTCTTCTTTAGCTGCACTTCTCTCCCGAAGTTGAGCCTGGACCTTCCGGAACAGCTCAACAATCTCTTTTTCTCTAGGTCCAGGGGATGCAGTGGCCCCGAACTTTGTGTTACTTGAAAGAGAGACCAATGACCCGTTTTTAGAAGAAAGCATGTCAGATTCGTCAAGGTTTTCAAAGCCATCTCTTTCTACGCTTTTCCTATTCCTGCTACGGGAGTACCCATGTCTGTTTTGCCTTGGAAAGTCTGGATTTCTATTACGACCACTAGAACTTGCTCTGCACGTAAAAGACACCCCCTTGCAAGCACCTTTCGGTGATCCAATCCTGATCTGTGACTTGGACTTATGGTTGAAACGAGAAGAGCAGGGATATAAAGGGGCTACTCTTCTAGAAATTCCTGAACACGGAAGACATTTGGCATCTGATGGTCCATAACCTGGAAGAAAACCACCATCATCCAAAAATCACAATGCAATAAACCTAACATAGAAATGAAAGCTACAAGCAATATCCACAACCCCAATTCACCTGCTCGTGCTTGAAAATATTTTCATAAGAGACCACTCGTATTCTATCCCACATGTGCAAACATTCCCCACTCACCGAAAAAAGTACATATTTGCGTTCCTTGTAACAAGACAGCGTAATAGAAAACCGAAATCCAAGGAAATCTTCCTTAGCATTCAAATGCAGCTAGTAGTTATCAATAAATAAAAAATCCAAGGCAATACAAGATTGAAATTAAAAGTCGAGACGCGACATGAGAGCTAAATCCTTCTATAGCCATTTGTTATATGCAAGCGCTGTTCATACAAAATCTTTTCAACAAACACCTGGTGGGAACTCTAACCAAAATGTTCAATTTTGAAAAAGAACAGCACAGACATGAATACTTCAAAATACGAACGAAACCAATGACAAATCGGATAACCCACATCTTAAAAATAAAAAAGCGAAATGGAAAGAGCCTACAAACTCCAGCCTATGTAGAATGTTGGAAACCCAGCAGAGTTTTGTTTCGGTTTATGAGAAACTCACCGATGATATGAACGCCGTGTAACATTTTTGGGGAGGTAAGAGGCAGACGAGGACAGCTTTCAGTTCAGTCGTCAATGGCGGATTTGCATTTTCTTGCTAGCTGACGTTAGAGCTCTTTCGAAGTGTTGGTCTCTTGCTTTGCTAAACCCTATAGCGCCATTGATAAGGGACTCGTTTGTGGGTCAGACTCGGGTCATTTGACCCGGTTATTTTTTTAGGCCCCGTTTTCCTTTCTTTTTTCTTTTTAAATAAAGAAAATAAAGCGACTAGCTAGTGACGTTATCATGGCAGTCCACCCCTTCGAGAGCCGAAAAGATTCACAGAGGCATTTTAACCTCACCTGACCACCATTGTGTGATTCACTAGCGTCAAAAATTTAACTTAGGACGTGCCGTGTGGAATACAGACCTGAAATTCATCTCCAACTACTAGATCACCCTGTGGTGGTTGTTTACTGTTGTTAGTTCGATTTGGCCCTCTTTTTCTTTTTTATTCTTATTTTGTTAGCGGGGTACATCAAATTTGTCTCCAAAATAATGTGATACCAATGAAATTTTTTTATTCAAGTTAGAATTTAATTAATAATTGTCATAAAATAAATATATGGTGTAAAATATACCAATTATTTGGTGCACAAAGTTAGTGTATTAATGATCAGTCGGGTTACGACCAATTGACCAAATCATTGTGGCTCACTCTTTCACTCAAGTTCAAAGTTTCAAACCTATATTCCTATTTCCTCCGCAAAATATCGTCTCGTAAGAACGATATCACTTACGAGATATCAACTACGTCCTGCACTGCTGCGCCCATATAGGTTCAGTTTATTTCTTTTAAAGTTACAAAATCTTACCTCCGTTAATTTAACCGTCAAGTTAACTTTTTTTTTTTTTTTTTTCCTTACACGGTTGCCAAGTTCCATGTCATGTACATTTAAGACATATACTGGGCCTATGTGAGGAAAAATATTGGCTCACTGAGTGCCCCGCGAAAATACTAGCAATTTACTTGATAGTTTGACGAGGCGAAGCTCAATTTATGAGATGTTTAACCTAAACACCTCATATAACTACTACTACAACACAAGATTTTGGATTTGATGCATGCACGTAGCACAGAGGAAACAAAGCATAAATGGATCTTGTTGAAACACACGAAAGTATATTCCGCCGGAAGGATCAACACACAGACATGCCAAGGATTTAAATATAGGTCTAAAAACTTGACAGCGTCTAGATTTTCTTCTCTCTGTGTTAGTTTTTCGGAGTACAGCGCTGTTCCAAACTCCGTCAAAAGACAAATACCGCTCTAACTCAAATTCGTTACAGGCTGCTTCTGTATTCTTCAGCAAAAACAAAACGTGCCATTACTGAAGTAGGAGCACCTGAACAAGCACGATAAACGTACAACAATCTCACGAGTCAATAACAACTTGAAAGTCCATCTTTATTTTTCTTCTTGTACTCGAAAGAAGAGGAAGAACAGAGAAAGAAGAAAAATGATTCGATAAGCAATTGGGAGGAAAGTAGGTACAAACCAAATTAGCAGTCATTGCTTTACGAGGACATACTTCAGGCTTTGTGGTTTTTTGCCATCTCATCGACATCCAATTCAACTTGTAGAACTGGTGCATCCTTTCGCATGCTAGAATGGCTGGACAAAGAATATAACAAACACAAATATTAATCACTGCAGAACTTCTCGTCGTATAAACAAAGATGAGTTGAGTAGATTTAGTTTGAGTAACTCGCCTGTTCTGCACGGGACCATGATCCACAGCTGTTCGTAAACAATATATGACTCTGCCAACTATGCCTGTCATGGAAACTGGCCCAAACTTTCGACTGTCATTGGCTTCCTGCCAGACATAAGAACGAACACTTATCCATCTATTCCCAAATATTCAAGTAATGCCATACAGAGAATGTCACAGTTCACCCTAATTGTGTACATGTGTCAGCTAGAATATGTCAAAATGGTGAGTTGTAAATTTAGTCAAAATTCTAAACACGAGGAAGAAGGACAGAGAGAGAGAATCCTGAATATCATATATTTTAGGTGAGTTTCAATTTTTACATGATCATAGAATCAAGAGATTATGGAACTATAGATGAGCGTTTGATGTATGTGTTACATATTTATGAATCTTGATTCATGTGAAACGACTATCTTTAATTATTCAATTTGCCATTATTTCCAATGGTTTCCCAAATTTTCGATTTATGCCACCAGTTCCATGACTTTCTTAAAGATTCTTCAAATGTCTGTACCCATCTCATGAAACAACCTCCTCAACTAACAAGCTGTTGTTCAAGTATAGTTCATATAAGATTTACGCTTGATAGATGTTACAACCAAACCAATAGATGGCAATCAAAATTCCACACATAAGTAATGATGACAATATACTCAGCTGCTGTGCTACAGCTATTGCCAAATAATAAAACATAAAAAGAAGTGTGGACGGACTCATAAAGGAATCGTGCAAACTGTGCAGTAACCGAGCAATTATATTTGATACATTTGTCTGAACACAACTAGAAATTCTGAATATGGCATTGTACCTTGGGCTTCAAACTTTCATTATCAGCCAGCACCCAGCATTCATCCTTGTCAAGGACAAAGGGCTCATCCTTTTCATCCGTAGACAACATTTCATACCCTTCAATTGCAGCCAACCTTCTGACAAGATAATTATCTGGTTTCTCGGGGTCCTTCAAGACCACTACATCCCCAACAAAGACACGCCTGTCAGATAAATATGAGGATGTCAGATAAATGTTTCACACAGAGGTATCAATCTCTGTAAAAAACAGGTAATGATCAAACCAGAAGGACTCAGCTCGGGACCATCTTTAGAAGAATGACAAGCAGAACACAACATGATTAAGCACCAGAAAGCTTATCACCAATCCATGTGAGAATTCGAGCACAAGTTGAATAAAAGCTCACAATACATGGTAAAGGGCCTGCTTTAACAATATAGAGACTCAATAAGATCGAATAAGCCAAGAGCATACACCAACTTCAACTTTTTATGTATCCATGGACAAACGGCACAGGCAACCAAAGTGGTCCTGGTCCACAAATCTATTTATGACCTTTCCTAAACTGCACCTAAATTGACAAAGTATAAATGTCGAAGAAAAACACCCCAATTGCTCATCATCACAGAAGTAAATTAGAATTGATTTACCATCCTCAAGTTTCTGAAGGCAATTACGATATCTCAGTTCCTTCATGAAACACCTACCATTTGCAGTCCCGCATAAGAAGCTGATCTACGACCAACAACTTAACAAGGTTTTATATTTTAGATGCACAATCTTAGATCATTACATAAAATGCTTTAACCGGTCCTGGAGTATCTTTGGAAGAATGATATTTATATTCAAGCACAAAAATTACAGAGAAAGGAAATCAAACTCGCAAAAAGAAGAGAGGATATATTTAAAATGGTAATTACTTTGGATCTGCAGCTGGTATCTTCCGAACAAGAAGAGTTCCCCCTTGTGCCCCTATACTAGGGGCCATCTCCTCTCCTTTATTCCAATGCAAGTATGTCAGCCTTCCCTGAAATAGATTTTTAAAAAGAGCATCACCCATTTCTTTGTCCGTGATTTGACCTCTGTGATAGTTCTGCATTACATGAACACTTTTAACATAAAAACGTAAAAGAACAATATAAAACAAAAGTCATTTATAAAGCTTTCACTGACTTAAAGGTAACCCCTGTGAATGGAAAGTAAGAAACTATCTTTAAGATTGCAGAAGAACCAGAAGAAAATTAAGTGTTACTTGACCATCTAAACCATCTGCCAAGCTAACCCTTTGTGCTTCTACAGACTAATAAAAACTTATGAAAGGATAACCCACATTACAGCTCACCCCAATTTATCCATGGAAAACTGAGGGAGATAACTGGTTCCCCAATTTCACAATTGAGTTTGAACATTCAAAAGACGCGCATCAAAGGCAAGGTAACATAAATCATGTTTCAAATGTTCCTAGATTCTTAAGAATAGCTATAAAGCGTTTTTCTTTTGACAATGCAATATTCTAATAAACTACTCTAATCTGCGGGAAAGGGGCGGGCACACTGCCTTGACCAATTAACCAAACCCAAAATATCTATAAAGCTAACTTTACAGAAAGTAGTGAACGTTACTGAATAATTCTCCATGGTCTCTCAATCTTTTCGAATGCCTTCGGAGAGGTCAAAGTAACAGTTTTGAAGCTGAACTAAACGTAGATACCAAACAAGATTTCAGTTTTCAGTTTTCAGAAAAGTAAAAACTTGAAACCAAAACAAAAAACTGTAAGCGAAATGATTAACAAACAGGCCCTAAGCATTTCAAAAATGCACCTTCAACATACACACAAGATTTCTCTGACCCATGTAGCAGTATAAAACCTGAAATCATACACAATATCTGTTCCTACAAAAACATCATTGAAATTGAGAACGCAAAACATTGGGAAAACCCACGAAAACCCTTATTCAGATCACCATTTTAACACAAAACCACAAAACTACCAAAACAATATCGTTCTCAAAAAACCCAATACAACCCATCCATCATTAGCCAAAATCTAAAAACCCCAACATCAAAGTTCACTGCTTTAACTTTCCATGGCAGCAATATTACAATGGGCAATCTCAAAAACGGTCTAAAAACAAAACCCAGACGGCGAAACAACGAAAATTGGATGAGAGAGAGGAGAGAGGACCTTCAAGCTGAGAGTGGCAGAGTACTCGAGCTTGTGGGCTATGTACCGGCACCAGGTGGAGAGGGAAACCATCGCAGAGAGAGACGACCGACCGCCAGCAGCTTCGAGTTGTTGCTGTACGAGATATATGCGTCGTCAAGCTTCCCCTTCCCCTTCCCTTTTTTCTTAAACCCCAAACAAAATTTGATCTTGGAAATTTTGGGATCGTGGGCTCACGCAAATCGCAATTTTTATTGGTGTTCAATGCTAATCAAATGAACGCTCTCCAGTCCGATGTGTTGGAAATCAGTGTGTGCAACGACATGCCGTTTCACTGGGAAATTTTGGAAAATAACCAATTTAGAGGCACAAATTGAATTATATTTAAACTTTCTAACTTCTTATACCTTGTTTAGTACGCTATATAAAGTATCGGATATGACTAATAATATGAAATCGAATGTTTGACGTTCATATGTATTAAATGTTTACCGAATTAAATAGTCCGGTCCCACCTATTTTATACGGTCTACACTCGTTTAGTTATACACTCTGAAACCACTGTATTATTTAGTTATACACTCAGACCACTGGTCTCTTGCTCGCTTGCTCTCTCCGTCCCTCTCTCTCGTCCCTCTCGCATCGCTTGCTCGAGAATCTCAGGTTCTTCTTCTTGCCTCTCTGTTCTCCTCTCCTATTTTTCTTGCAATTTTTCGCGACGGTTGCTGGGGGGACTGTTGCACGTAATTGGCGACGGGGTAGAGTGGGAGTTGCTGGACGTGGCGATGGACTTCTTCCTTGAGAGCCTTATAGAGGGCTCGTCCTCTTCCAGGTTGTCGCCATCACTCGACATTGCTGGGATCCTGTCCCTCTCTCCCCCTCTCTCTCAACTCAATTTTGCAATTTCAGATTCCAAATTTCTGAAAAATTGAATACCAAACACATAGTATAAATAATATGGTAATAAGTCCGCTGTTACATCAAACGTCCGACTAATTTAATCAGTATTATCCGATGACTATTTATTATATCCAACTGAAACAGTGAGTACAGTCGAAACTATCAAACAATGCCTTATAATACTTCCCTCAGTAATACAATCCTCTTTCTACCCCTTTCGGTTCTCACAAGCTTGAGCCGCTACAATTGTTGCGATAGTCTGGCAGCAAGCGCCCCGGCAGCAGCCCTTTCCTCATATTTTCTGGTACCATTCCGCCGAAGCCTTGTAGGCAAAGTGAAAAGTTCTGTTTCACGCAGGAGTTGTAATAATTTGTATGCACAGAAGGGGAAAACTGAAAAGGAAGTACCTGTCCTTGGCTTGTGGTGTATCAACTGAAAACATACAGAATAGTTTCTAAGTAATCAATCAAAGTAAAATTGTAAGTATCGTTATTGAGTGACGGTAGTGATTTGTTCCTCATTGTCGAGGATAAATTATCCCAGCTTGGAAAAAATGAAAATAATCAAGAATTTAAGACTTTTTACATGGATTTTTGTGTCACATCCCGGTCCGGGGCGGATCACTTCCCCGGCCCGACTCTACTACCGTAGCACGATATTGTCCACTTTGGACTTATCATTCCCTCATGATTTTGTTTTTGGAAACTCACGAGTAACTTCCCAGTGGGTCACCCATCATGGGATTGCTCTAGCCCTCTTCTCGCTTAACTTCGGAGTTCCTACGGAACCTGAAGCCAGTGAGCTCCCAAAAAGCCTCGTGCTAGGTAGGGATAGAAATATACATATAAGGATCATTCTCTTGGGCGATGTGGGATGTCACAATCCACCCCCCTTAGGGGCCCGACGTCCTCGTCGGCACATTTCCGGCCAGGGATTGGCTCTGATACCAATTTGTCACATCCCGGCCCGGGGCGGAACCACTTCCCGGGCCCGCTCTACCACCGTAGCACGATATTGTCCGCTTTGGGCTTACCATTCCCTCATGGTTTTGTTTTTAGGAACTCACGAGCAACTTCCCAGTGGATCACCCATCATGGGATTGCTCTAGCCCTCTTCTCGCTTAACTTCGGAGTTCCTACGGAACCCGAAGCTAGTGAGCTCCCAAAAGGCCTCGTGCTAGGTAGGGATGGAAATATACGTATAAGGATCATTCTCCTGGGCGATGTGGAATGTCACATTTTGGTTTGTCAAATTCGAGCCTCTAAAATTGGCTATTTTTCATTGTTTCATACACTGACCTTAGGATATAAACAGCTTGTGAAAAAAATAATATAATCTAAACTACCTATTAATAAAATTTTAGTTGTCAACCAAAATTTCATTTTAACCCCCTCGCCAAAACTGGACTCAAATAAAAAATATGAACAATTTAGTAATTACATGAACATAAATTTTGCTGTTTTTTACAACAACCTCACAACTAGGTTAGTATAGCATGCCCTAATTAAAAATTAAAAATAAAAAGTATTCCCACGTTAGAATAAACCTCTCATCATTATCCCATTCATAACAATTTGTTTTTTTGGTTTTAGAATTTAGAAACTAATCCCACTTCATAATAAAAAAACAAAATGAAATGAAATTGTTCAGAAGGTGTGTGTGGGCATCTGTTAGTCTCCATATATAAAGTAAAAAAATAGATGTAAAGAATAAATTGCTACAAGTGCGAGCGTGTATCAAGGGCTAGTAAGACAATAAATTAGCAAGGGCATATATATACCTACATTCGTCTGCTCGTCATACACACTTTTCTCACAAACTGACATCATTTTGTCTTCAATCCACTCAAATTCGCTACGAGCTAGCATCTCAGTTAAAGCAAAATATTTTTCCTTCAATGTCTTGATTCGTGATTCAATACGTGGATAGTGGATACACCTTTAATCCACACCCTAGAACTTTAGCTTCCATCATAACATCTATCTTCTCCAATAACCATTCTCGAACTAGTGTCAGCTCGTCAAGTCAGGTCATTATCCAATTCTAGCAATGACCTATCCTTACTAGTTGTCCAATAATATTTTTGTTCTCACCTTCCTCGTTTCGTATATGAAACAAACAACATTTTAAACCTAATAAAGCATAAAAAGACACCATACATTACAATATAGAAATCATAGGCATTTCATTCCAAATGTTATTACATAAGACAGTGGTGACTTTCTTAACTTGAAACAAAAGAAACAATCCAAATGTTATTACAAAAATTACAATTGAAAAGGACAACTAATGTCTTCGTCAACTTAAAACAAAAGGGCACATCTCAATTAGACTTGTAAATGGGTCGGGTTGAACCCGACCCGTTAAGCTAACGGGTCATCCGAACCCAACTCGTTAACCTAATGGGTCATCCGTTTCAACCCGTTTCACCCGTTAACCCTTTTTTTTTTTTTTCTTCATCCAAATAAGTTACACCCGTTTCACTCTTTGTTAGCATCCTGGTGCTTGTGCTAGCCACCTCCTTCCTTCGTTCGGTTTGTGTGCATATGCAAGTCATGGAGTGATTTGATGAACACCTAGAGCTTTATTACAATGTACAAGAATACAAGATTAGGAATGTCACAAAACATGTTTATGTCTGTCTACTTTGCCTCAATAACTAAATGAAATAACTACAACCACGACCCATGACTCCAACGAGCGTTGCTGATCAATAAACCAGGGATTTTTTTAGACATAATGCGAAGACCTAATCAATGCATGTTCTTTCTCTCGTCGACAATCGACAACAGCCTCGAAACTAAAGATTTAACCTAAGACCTAATCAATGCAAAAACAACATACATAATTTAAAAACAAAAAGAGAAGGAAACATCATTATGAGTCAAAACCCAAGAGAGTGGAGAGTTTATCCATCCATAATGTCTCTGTCCCTAAAAACTTCATGGCTTAAATACCATTGCCACTACCAGTTCTCGATCCATAATCACGAGACAGTGCAAATTATAAAGTATGACTTCAAATTAATTACTAAAGTTCAATGTAATAGAGGAAAACAATAAACATCCAACCCAAACTCCTTTATCCACCTAAAAGGGAAACATTTCGAAGGCCAGGAGAAAAATAGAAGGAAATATATAAGTATGAGCAGGATGCCTACACAGGGAGGATATAGAAACTTACTGAGCAGCAACTTATGTTGTTCGTATCAATTTCAGTAAAACCAAATAACAACAGCAACCCAATTCCAATCCAAAAACCAACCAAAACAAAGCAAACTCAATACTTTTAACTTCATGGGGGTAAATTAATAGCTCCAAATTACCCAAAAATGGAAATTTTAATCGGAGAATATACAAATGAACAAATTTTACACAAAACCCATGAACAAAAAGCAAAATCCATTATCCAAAACACAACCAAAAAAAAAGAAAAAAAAGAAAAGAAACCCTAGAAACCCAAAATATCACAGAGAAAGCATAATTTGCACAATAGAAGCACAATCGCAGTTGAAATTATTAAACACAAATCAGCTAATTTTAAATTAATTCGAAGTTGTTCTGAAGAGACCACCTAAAATCAAGCTCAAGTAAAAACTGAGAAAAAATAGACAAATCTAATCTGTATAAACGAAGAGGTGGAAGGGAATCGAGCATTAGGGTTTCGAACTTTCAGTTAGTATATTGTTACGCATGAAAGAAGAGGTGGAAGAGAATCAGAGCTTACCAGAGAGAGAGTGGTGGAGTTGGAAGGGAAGGAGCACATCGATGGCCGATGAGCGATCTCTTAGTCTCAGAGAGCAAAGTCGTGCGACGGTGCAAGAGAGAGACGTGAGGAGGAACCTGAGGGTTTTCTATTAGGACTGTTGAAATTACACAAAAGTCCTCAATAACGGGTCTTAACGGGTTCATCCAAAATGATTCGTTATTTAACTGATCACTCGACTCATTTATCACTCATCCAATACTAATTTTAAAGGATTGGGTCGGGTCAGATTAACGGATCAGGTGAAAAATGCCAGGTCTAATCTCAATCACTGACTTAATGAGCAAGGTTATCCCTCCATGCAATGCACTAATCCGAGGACTCAACAACGGTAATGTAGTCATACACATGAACTCCCCATCTTCAAATTGCTCGTCCGCATTAGCTTCCGTAGGATATTTTTTTCCACAATAGTTTCACGTGGTATTGAAAGTACGTGCGGAGCTCTTTTTTTCCTCCATCGAAGTTTTGATTTTCTTCCGACAAGTATTTCACCAAGGTTCACATCAATTTTGTTTACAGTCTTGTCTGATGTCGTATTTCTTGGAATTAAACTGTACAATTATAGCATAGATTTTGTAAGTCTGTTTTTTTTGGTCTTAGACCCGTGGTTGTCATCAGGCAAAGCATTTTAGAATGCGAGGATAAAGCCTCGCATGGGAGAACAATCAAACTAAAGCGAGGGCTTACAGAATTTGACTACTTTCATTAATATTACTATTTGCCTTTAATCCCAAACATTTCCATCTACCTTTAACCCCAAACGTCTGAGTCTACTGATCATGCAATCTGAGTCTTTGAAATTTGATTAAATAATTAAAAACAGAGGATTTCACTAAAAATTATAATAACTTTAACAATTAGATTAAATTTTAAAGATCTAAATTGTATTATCAGTAGACTCAGATGAAAGCGATGAGATCAGGAGATAATGCCTTTCCATCCCGAACATCAAAAGCGACGTGGCAACAGAATCCACCAAAAGCCCACGAGGCAAAATCCTTGTGTCCATTATTTTATTTCCGCCACGCATTATCTTTGTTTGTTTCCAGTCTTGACCGTCCCCATCTTTCTCTCTCTCTCGCGCTCCCCTCGCTTTCTCTCTCTAAAGGCCAGAGCTTTAAGGCCAATTCCAACTCAAAAGCCTCCGATTCTCTCTCCAAAAGCTCGAGGATTCCAAGCAGAGCCTGCAAATTCCTAAGTTACAATCTCCGCAGACCCGAAAGTCACAGCAGGTTCGTTGGATTTTTCAGCTGTTCATAGATTTCAATTGATCTGTTTTAGTTTCAGATGGAGAAGTAAAAAAACTAAATTTTTATGTTTGGCTTCGTGTTTTTCTGGATTAATAAGAGAATCTGAGCAAAACCCAATTTTTAATTTGATTTATATTTAATTTTTAGCTGCACTATATTGAATATTTACTGTTAAATTGTTTAAATTTGAGACTAAGAACAGTGAAATGTTTCCAGGAATCAACCTGAGATTCAGAGCCAAACCCAATAAGTCACATATGTTTTAGACTTTGATTGTGATTTAAATTTGTATTTTCTATTTAGCTATAATTTATTCCATTTTTTACTGTACAATAGCTTAAATTTGAGTTCTGTGACGATGAACACTGTAATTTATTTATTTTTATTGGAATCAGGGTTGTGAATTTGTGATTTATCCAAAAGTGAAGAGACTGGTAAAATAATGGACAAGTTGAATCTATCTCAGTTGGGGGAGAGGTTAAAGATAGGTGGAGCTCAAATGGGTCGAATGGTAAGTGGGAAAATGAAGGAAATGAAGGAGATTCTGCAAGCACCGACCCCGGAATCAAAGATGATCGACGAGGCCACTCTGGAAACCATGGAGGAGCCGAATTGGGGTATGAATTTGAGGATATGTGCAATGATCAATAGTGAAGAGTTTAGTGGGTCCGAAGTTGTTAAAGCCATAAAGAAGAAGATTTCGGGTAAGAGTGTGGTGAGCCAGAGGCTGAGTCTTGACTTGTTGGAGGCTTGTACTATGAACTGCGAAAAGGTGTTTTCGGAGGTTGCATCGGAGAAGGTGTTGGAGGAGATGCTTAGGATGATCGATAATCCGCAAACGGATCCCGAAAATAGACGAAGGGCTGTGCAATTGATTAGGGCTTGGGGAGAGTCTGAGGATCTTGCGTATCTGCCTGTATTTCATCAAACTTACGTGGTGAGCCCTCTTTATTTTGGATATCAAGCATTTTATCATGTATTTTTATCCTTTCAATTGCATTTTTGAATTTTAAGTTGTTTCCCGGCATCAGTTAAGTACATGTCTATCAGAGTAGTTTTGTTTCTTCTTAGTTCTTAGTATTCGTCAAGTTTTTAATCTTTCTAACTGTTTCGTACTGAAAAAAAAAAGTCTTTATTATATGACAGTTCCTCACATGAAACCCCTACCATTTGCAGTCCCTCATAAGAAGCTGATCTACGGCCAGCAACTTAACAACGGTTTTATTGTTTTAGATGCACAATCTTAGATCATTACATAAAATGGTTAAACCGGTCCTGGTATTGTCTTTGGAAGAATGATATTTATATTCAATTACAGAAATTATAGAAAAAGGAAATCAAACTCGAAAAAAGAAGAGTGAACATATTTAAAATGGCATTTACGTTGGATCAGCAGCTGGTATCTTCCGAACAAGAAAAATTCCCCCTTGAGTATCTATACGAGGAGCCATCTCCTCTCCTTTACTCCAATGCAAGTATGTGAGCCTTCCCTGACATAGATTTTTAAAAAGAGCATCACCCATTTCTTGGTCTGTGATTTGACCTCTCTGATAGTTCTGCATTACATGAAAACTTTTGACATAAAAACGTAAAAGAACAATATAAAATAAATAGTCTTTATTAGGCTTTAGTTGGCTTGAGTGTTACCTACAATTACGGTTTTTAACCCAGCAAATGTCCCGTAGTCAAGTTACAATTTTGTCAGCGATGTCAACTACCCTGCCATTCAGTTTGTTATTTTGGTCTGTCTGGACATGTTCATTGGGTTATTTTTTTTCTTTCCATAACAGTCCTAGTTTTGCAGTTATTAAGAGGCTGATGTCCAGCTTTTTTTCTTGGTGTTATGCAGAGCTTGAGAGAAAGAAGCACCGATCCTTTAGCACAAGAAGGGGCTTCGCCCTCGTTGCAGTCTACCTTGGAGTCATATGTTCATGACCCGCTGTCTCCCCCTGAAAGATACCCTGTACCTGACACAGGATTGCATGGAGGAGCAAATCATAGTGACTTCCCCTTTAACTATCAAAACATAGCAGTTGAAGACAAAAAAGAACTTCTTGTCGTAGCTCGTAATAGCCTTGAACTTCTGTCAAGTATTTTGAATACCGAAACAGATCCGAAACCTTTGAAGGTATTTCTGACTTCTTATTGGAAAGGAATACTATTCCTTTGTATCATAATTTTTTCAAAACTCTTCATGTTGATCATATTCCTTTTGTCATAATTGTTTATTCTGACATCAAGTTCTGCCCCAAGTTACAAGTACAATATGGATGAACTACTAAACTCTCGTTAATATAAAAGGTAGAAATGTTGATCTCGTATATTGGAACCCATGGTATGGACCCGATTACGTGCCATGCATTATGACAGGGTGTGAGCATGCAGGTTTGGGTGCACAAGAATGTTTGCAATTGCAAATGGCCGTTCATGTATCTCCTTTCCGTATCATTTATATAGAGGAACATTAATACTTCTTTAGATACATGAAAATGATTCTTCTAGGACATATTTTCCTTTTTCCTGTAATTGAATTTTGTTTCACTCTTTACGTTATTCGAAGATCAGCTTGTGGACAGAAAGACATGAAAGCTGATGGAATACTTGATTGCAGGAAGAACTAACCGTAAACATGCTGGACAAGTGCAAGGAGTCTCAGCCAGTTATTAAAAGGATCATAGAAACCACTACCGATGATGAAGGGATGCTCTTTGAGGCCCTATTCCTTCACGAAGAACTCCAACAGATCATTTCCAAGTACGAAGAATTGGAAGCTTCTCAAAAGTCTGGAATCCAACAGCTTGAAAATCCTGCAATCACCTGGGATGAGGGGATGGAAGCTGGTCTAAACCCTGGAGAACTGCCTGGAAACTCCAACACCACTGAGCGCGAGGATTTGGAAGACACCCAAAAACATGATGGAAAACTGCCCGAAAATTCCAGTGCTAATGAAGGCAGCTCGTCCGCTCAGGTAGGAAACCATAGCGAAACCAAAATAGTTGGCTCTTCGCAGCAAGGCACCAAATCCAGCGGTGCTTCTGAAGGCAGCTCATCCGCTGAGGTAGGAGGAAAACATAGCGAAACCAAAATAGTTGATTCTCCGCACAAAGACCCCAAGTCCAGCAGCGAAAAATTAGGTGAATGAAGGAATCAAGCTCGATACATTTGGCTGTATCCATGCTTTGTTGTGATGGCTGCGCCGCCGCGCTGCAGCCACGCAAATGACGTTTTATTTGCAAGACCAATCCTCGGTTATGAGGTTTTTCCATTTTCTTTCCTTTCATAGTAAATAATCGTTTCTGTAAACGTTGTAATATTTATTGCTCGTGTGACCGCTTCATTATATTCATCCGTGCAAAGCCTTTTTTCCCTGTCGTTTCGTATTTGATGAATAGCTCGTTTGCCTTTTGTTTTCCAAAGGGAGGAAACCAACGAAAAACAATTTACCCAGTGTTTGTTCTTTATTTTTAAGTAATACTAATGAAAATAGGTTGAAAACTTTGAGTTCATGACAACTAAAGGGTAAAATGAATAGTATCATGATTGATTTTTTAGTGTAAAAATGTGATTTTTCGTTAAGGTGAACTGTACCGAAAATTTTTCGTTAAAATTTCCTTATTTTTATTAGATTAAAAAGGAGTACGAAATTAAATCTTAATTGATGAATAATCGAATTCAAGTATCATCTATGTTTTATATATCCATCACCATCAAATATTGATGACATATCATAATATCAACAGTATATTGAAAACGGATCATTTCAAGTGTCGTTATTGGCACTCTAAATTTTTTTTGTCCACTTTTAATAACTGTAGTTTCTTTCAAAATATAATAAATATGAATTGTACAATGAATTTTTTTGAGTGTCAATAATAACATCATTTTAGAAATTGGGAATTATAAATATATCTTTCCAATGAAGTTTTTTTTTTATTTTAAATATTTGATTGAAAGAACAATCTAAACGATTGATTTCATCATTTTCCTGATCAATATGCAATCAATAAACCTATATTCTATTATTCTTATAAATTTAAAGTCAAATATGTCTCGTTTCATACCAATAACGTTATATCACAAAGATGTTGATTCGAGTTAAATCCCTTGATAAAAAAAAATATCATTAGATTGTAGTGGTGCGAAAAGTCGAAGATTAAGTAAAATTATGGAAGAAAGCTAGAAAGGTACCAAAATCCAAATAATCTTGTATTCGCATTACAAAATACCAAAAACCAACTAAAAATGGACCTACTGAAAATCCCATACGGCAGGCTCGATACATGGCGAAGTGAAAACTGTCAATGCCCAGCTCCACTTCTGAAAAACTCCCCTTCTCCCGCCAATTCCCTTCCTCTCCGCACTTTCAATTTCCCTCCGTTTTCCCAAGAAAATCGCACTTCCTTTTCCGTAAAAATCTCAAGCTTCTGTAAATCTACTCGCTCTGCTACTGTTCCCTGAATCCGTAGCTTCAATTTTCAGAATCCGGCCCTAAATCTCCACTTTTTCCCAAACCCTAGTTTTGCTTCGACTGGCCATGCCGTCCCTGGTCTCTCAGGGCAAAATCCTCCGCCTGGAGCTCGAGAACTTCAAGTCCTACAAGGGCTTCCAGACCATCGGCCCCTTCTACGACTTCACTGCGATTATTGGGCCCAATGGAGCCGGAAAGTCCAACCTCATGGACGCCATAAGTTTCGTTCTCGGCGTGCGGACGGGCCACCTCCGCGGGGCCCAGCTGAAGGACCTGATCTATGCCTTCGACGACAAGGAGAAGGACCAGAAGGGCCGCAGGGCCTTTGTCCGCTTGGTTTACCAGCTGGCCAACGGGTCGGAGCTCCAGTTCACCCGAGCCATTACAGGCGGAGCAGGCAGCGAGTACCGTATCGATGGCGCGTCTGTGACGTGGGAAGAGTACAATGCGAAGCTCAGGTCTCTTGGGATTCTTGTCAAGGCCCGGAATTTCCTCGTCTTTCAGGTTAATTTAAAAGATCAAATGCTTTCGAATTTCGCAGTATCGATATGTAATGTGAGCTTAGGGTACTTCATTTCTCTGTTCGATTTATTATTTTTGAATTTTATCAATTATCGTGTTGGAGGTGTTGCTGATGTTTGGAAGCTGATAATTTGGAGTTGATTAAGGGAGAGATTTTTTCAAGTACCAGGTATTCAAGTGGTATTCCACATGTCATAATACAAGTGGGGGAAATGAGATATTTTTACGTATCCCTCCACTTATTTTGTGACACGTTGAGTGCCCGCTTGAATACATGCACTTGGAAAATTTTTCTCTGAATAAGGAGGGAAAGGAAATCATTTGCATTTATTTGCCAAGCTGTGTGGTAGTGGAGAAATGTATATTATCTATTTGTTCTCAAATGTGTATGATTTCTCAGAAACTATTCAAATGTATGAGACTCAATGTAGACTTCATTTTTGAAATTGTAATTTGGATTTCATTTTCCTGTCTATAGTTTCCAACTTTCCATCACTGTAGCATCTATCACTGAGTCGTATGTATTGGTCGAGTTAGTACCATTGGTTGCATCTTATTTGCATCGGAGAGTATATTCATTCTAGGTCAAAGGGGGAAAATGAGTAGTCATAATCTTAAAAGGGGAAAAATGAGTGGTCATAGAGTGTCGAGTCATTGCCGAACGGCTATTTAAGTGTTAAAGGAAGTTTATAAACATGCTAAACTGTGCCTTGTTCACTTGTTTTCAAATACTGTAAGACATATTGGGGCTCTTACGGTGGTTCTGATATGTCCATAGGAAGTTAGGGTGACTTCTAAGTTCTAACTACCTTTTATCTTTTTTTATTTCAGGGCGATGTGGAGTCTATTGCCTCCAAAAATCCCAAGGAACTTACTGCACTTCTTGAGCAGATATCTGGGTCTGATGAACTCAAGAGAGACTATGAAAAATATGAAGAAGAAAAATCCGAAGCTGAACAAAAAGCAAGTCTTGTTTATCAGAGAAAGAGAACAATAGTATTGGAGAGGAGGCAAAAGAAAGAACAAAAAGAAGAAGCTGAGAAACACCTCCGCCTGCAAGATCAACTGGTGTGCATCTCAAGGTTTCTTTGCTGGTTTCATACATGTGCACATATGAGCTGCAGCTACTTTTGCATTTACATGCATACATACATGGGTTACATGTCTGCATTCACGCATGCATATGCATGTTTTGTCTTAATACCATATCTGCTTTAGCTGCAGAATTGCAGTAAGTTGTCCTTGAAAATGTTTAAGTTTCATAGTTACTTGGATTCTCACAAACTGAATGCTCAAATTTCTAGCTTGCCATCCCTTAACCAAACACACGCACACACAAAGGGAAAAATAGTACAAAGACAAAGTGAATGCTTAATGTTTCTAGCTTGCCATCCCTTAACCAAACACACACACACACACAAAGGGAAGAATAGTACAAAGATAAACCGAATGCGAAGGTAGGCTGAAATCTCAAACTCGTAGGAAATTATGTAATTCAGGAAAGAGCATACTAAATGGGCTTTGCAAAGACTTGGTTCTCTCTCTTCTCTCTTCTCTTCTCTCTCTCTCTCTCTCTCTCACACGCAGGCACATACACAATCACTCACTCACACGCAGACTATCTGTCTTGTGTCCATGTGTTAGTGTACTCTGTGCGTGCATACACAAGATTTGTAAAAAAAAATCCAGTGCAGGCTAAGCGGGGAATTCCTTAATATGTCAAACTTTTCTCTATGCCAAATTTTGGTCTTGAAGTTTGTTATTTATACAAGTTTAATAGCTTTAAGTGTTTGCCATTGAATGTTCTGCCTCATAATTTCTAACAGTTGTAATATGCTAATTGTGTGATTATCTATTTGTCCTGCAGAAATCTTTGAAGAAAGAACATTCTTTATGGCAATTGTTCAACATAGAAAAGGATATTGCAAAAATGACCGAGGAGCTTGAAGCTGAAAAGAAAAGCCGTGAACAAGTTATGCAAGAAATTGATGAGTTTCAGCTAGAAGCAAACAATAAGAAGAAAGAACAAGCAAAATATCTGAAAGAGATTGCACAATGTGAAAAGAAGATTTCAGATAGAAATAGTAAACTTGACAAAACTGTGAGTTTCTTTGGCTTCAACGGGACACAGAAAATTCACTCGAGATTTATTAAATTGAGTTTAATATGAGCTGAATTGGTCATCACCAATCTTAACCTCATTTGTTCATAGTAGTCAAACTGGGGAACTATAAGATGTTGAAATATAGGGTGGTCCTTGTATGTTTGTCATATATTGCTGGTTCTGTTGCCATTTTAATATGGTGACCTTTACTTTTCTGTTACTGCATAAAGTATTTTTCCGTGCTGAAGAGGAAAATATTATTGGTCATCTAATATTGTTTTTCTGTTTGCAGCAACCAGACCTTCTGAAATTGAAAGAGGAAATGTCTCGTATAAATGCAAAAATCAAGAAAAGTGAGAAGGAGCTTGCTAAGAAGGAACAAGAAAGGAAAAGACATAAAGAGGATATAAAACAGCTGCAGAAGGGAATACAGGAACTGACTGCAAAACTAGAGGATTTACATGAAAAAGGCCGAGATAGTGGCGACAAACTGAAGTTAGACGATACTGAATTAAGGGAATACTTTCGAATGTAAGCGTTTGGTGATTCCTGCTTTATATGGCCAGTATATCTTATTGTGATGGTAATCTGGCTCTTTACTTTTATTTAACCAAAATATATTTTCCTTGGGCTAAATACCATTTTTTTTTTTTCAAGTTTAAGCTAAGGAATGAACTTGTTGCCCTGCTTACCCTTTTCTTTATGGACTTGTTAAGTTACATTCATTTAACCATTGTGCTTTCTCTAGCTTTTCTCTTCATGATATGGTTTTCTAAATTGTCATTGAGATGCTGATGTTACAGCAAGGAAGATGCTGGGATGAAAACTGGAAAGCTAAGAGATGAGAAGGAGGTCCTGGATAGGCAACAGCATGCTGATCTTGAAGCTCAAAAGAATTTGGAAGAAAATCTTCAACAGTTGAGAAGTCGGGAGGCTGAATTAGAGGAACAAGAGGAACAAATGCAAACAAGGCAGAAAAAAATTAAAGAAAATTCTGCGAAACATAGGGATGAAGCTAAAAATCTGGATAATGAACTGCATGCCATGCAATCTAAAAATTCACTGGCCAGGTTATTCAGCTCGCCTGTATGCTTCTCTATTTTATGTATATGTGTGTGTGTAGGCTCTGGCAGTTGTATCTTGCTGCCACCCCATTCTCTTATCTGTTGATTTGGATGTGTTTTATATTTTGTCGTTTTATTTTGTTGTGTTACCAGAAATTAAGACAAAAAAGCATTGAATTCATGTTTACTATTGTCTTTTTTGGTGCATAC